GTGCTGTCAGTTCTATTTCATGAATTTCTTAAATTCAGTTCTTTTATTATCTAAACTACGGAACTAGCAGATTTTTGACGTAATGAATGATTTTGCATTGTTCCTTACTCGTGTTGCGCATAACGCAAGTTGTTGAATTCTTAGGTTTTTGGTCCAACATCCCAGCCAAAGGAATTGTTCGATCAAGCTGTCTCTTCAATTGTTTATGAAGTTCTTGAGGGCTATAACTGCACCATCTTTGCCTATGGTCAGACAGGAACAGGGAAGACATATACAATGGAAGGAGGAGCACGGAAAAAGGTTTAGTTTGGTTAAAAAGAAAGAGACAGAAGCATATACTGAACTATCATTCAGTTTAGTTTTGTTACTGATTAAATCCTTTTATGTTTTTAGAATGGGGAATTCCCCAGTGATGCAGGTGTTATCCCTAGAGCTGTTAAACAAATTTTTGACATTTTAGAAGCCCAGAGTGCTGAATACAACATGAAAGTTACATTTTTAGAGCTTTACAATGAAGAGATAACGGATCTTTTGGCACCAGAGGAAACTTCAAAGTTCGTAGATGACAAAGCTAAAAAACCTATAGCTCTTATGGAGGATGGAAAAGGAGGTGTTTTTGTGAGAGGCTTGGAAGAAGAGATAGTAAGCACTGCAAATGAAATTTACAAAATCTTGGAAAAAGGTTCTGCTAAAAGGCGCACTGCAGAGACTCTTCTTAATAAACAAAGTAGTCGCTCTCACTCAATATTCTCTATTACAATTCACATTAAGGAGTGTACTCCGGAAGGGGAAGAGATGATTAAATGTGGGAAGCTAAATCTTGTTGACCTTGCTGGTTCTGAGAATATTTCACGATCTGGGGCACGAGAGGTATGATTCAGTAAAGATTAACATCACTTGACTCTTTTATATTTACATACTTGACTGTCAGACAGCATGTGCTCTTGGAATTTCATAGTTGAAAGATGGGTTATTTCTGCCCTTTGCGTGCATTAAGCTGTTAATATCAACTCTTTGGTGCATTAAGAAGGCCATTTTGTTTTCTAAAAAAAAACTTACATGCAGGGAAGAGCTCGGGAGGCTGGAGAGATTAACAAAAGTTTGCTTACACTTGGTCGTGTCATTAATGCTCTTGTTGAACACTCAGGTCATGTTCCATATAGGTATGAACATAAGTGGCATAGAAGTGGATTCTTAGAGTTTCTTTTTTCCATTTACAAGCCTTAGAAGGTAAAATATGCTAAAGGTAAATGCTTGATATTTCAGAGATAGCAAATTAACAAGGTTATTGAGGGATTCCTTGGGAGGAAAAACAAAAACGTGCATAATTGCCACAATTTCACCCTCCATCCATTGTTTGGAAGAAACACTCAGCACTCTTGATTATGCACATCGTGCAAAAAATATCAAGAATAAACCAGAGGTCAGCTATTACACAGTTTCTTGCTTTTGGGGCAAAACTGACTTCTATCAAACTGAAATCTAGATAACATTTTTTTATCCTCTTGCTTTCAGATTAATCAGAAGATGATGAAATCTGCCATGATCAAAGATTTGTATTCTGAAATTGATCGGCTGAAACAAGGTGTTGCATCTCCTACATTCAATTGGAAAGACACTCCTTTGTTTTCATGCAAATAAGTTTATTAAATTCATTTGCATTTCATTTTCTGTTTTGTTTAGAAGTATATGCTGCAAGGGAGAAAAATGGAATTTATATTCCAAAGGATCGATATCTTCAAGAAGAAGCAGAAAAGAAGGTTCAACTCTTATTATAAAATTGACGACTGAATTTTTTTCTTGGGTTTCAATGATAGATAGGAAAAATATTTTATTATTTTGTCTTTATCTGTCCTTGCCACAGGCAATGGCTGAAAAGATAGAACGTATGGAGCTTCATGCAGAGTCCAAAGATAAGGTATGGTTCAACAAGATTCTACTCTCTTTAGCTTTCGATATATCATAGTCATTTTAATCATGTTTTCATTGCTTGTAAACAGCAATTGGTTGAGCTTCAGGACCTGTACAATTCTGAGCAAGGTTTAACAGAAGAATTAAGTGAAAAGCTTGAAAAAACTGAGGTACTACAGATTTTATTGGCCACATTCGAACCTCATCTTTTGTAAGCCTTAACCCTCTTTATCGCTTATGTATCATTTGAGAACTTATGGTTTTCTTTTTCTTCTAAACTTCAGAAAAAACTCGAGGAAACTGAGCATTCATTATTTGATCTTGAAGAAAAACACAGACAAGCAAATGCAACAATTAAAGAGAAGGAATTTGTGATCTGTAATCTTCTCAAATCTGGTAAAAAACTGTCATCTCTCTCCACGTTATATGACTTGTCCCGCTAAATGGTTATAGGGACTTTCTTTAGACAAAGGGTTCTCTGTCATGTTTTAAATGTGGCTTGATTGATTGAGAAACTTATGCATCTAATTACTGCATTGTCTGCCAGTATAATTTTCAATCTCTTTGAAAGATTTTCTATTGTTCATTTTTCAGAAAAATCACTTATTGAGCATGCATTTGAGCTTCGATCGGAGTTAGAAAATGCAGCATCAGATGTGTCCAACTTGTTTGCCAAAATTGGTGCGTATAGTTTTGGATAATAACCTTATTATTTTGTCTGATCCGAAAAATAACGTTATTATTTTGGTTTAATACCCTCCCAGAACTAAAGTTCTGTTGTTTGTGATGGCTGGCTTATAGAAAGGAAGGATAAAATCGAGGATGGAAACAGGGTACTTATCCAAAAATTCCAGTCACAATTGACCCAGCAGCTTGAGATCTTGCATAGAACTGTGGCAGCTTCTGTGACTCAACAAGAGCAGCAACTGAAAGACATGGAAGAAGATATGCAGTCCTTTGTATCAACTAAAGCTGATGTGAGGTTTCAATAACAACATTTTCATCGGCTTTTGAATATATTAATCTTTCTATTATATTAATCTAATTTTCTGTTTGCGCTGAAGGCTACTGATCAACTACGAGGAAGGTTAGGAAAATTGAAGACCACATATGGTTCTGGCATCAAAGCTCTTGATGATATAGCAGGCAAACTTGATGGAAATTCACAGTCAACTTTTGGCCATTTGAATACTGAAGTTTCTAACCATTCACATGCATTGGAGGATGTAAGTATCACTTTTTTTTGGCTACTGCTGATTGAATCCTTTAGAACTAATGCAATGGATCCCATTGTAACTGATTGAATCCTTCTCATTCTGGCTGTATCTGACTTTTAAGTTAATGTTCAGCTCTTCAAAGGAATTGCTTTGGAGGCTGATGAATTGCTTGATGATCTCCAAAGTAGTCTTCACCAGCAAGGGGAGAAGCTAACTGCTTTTGCACGACAACAGCGCGAGGTCTGTGCTTTTCTTTTGTGCTTCAGTTGATCTTCAACTGGAAGAGAGGTGTTTGGATTATTATTATTATATACCTTAGTCGAATGTTTTTGTTAATTTTTCAGGCACATTTTAGGGCTGTGGAAACTGCAAGGTCGGTTTCTAGAGTAACAGTTGACTTCTTCAAGACCCTAGACATGCATGCGTCCAAGCTAACTCAAATTGTAGAGGAAGCACAGACAGTCAATGATCAGAAATTATCTGAATTTGAAAAGAAATTCGAGGTGGCTACTCTATTTAATTTTAAATTGTATGGATTATCATAGAAGCGGTGATTGGTTAGATTCTAACGGAGTTTATTATGCTTCCAGGAGTGTGCTGCCAACGAAGAAAGGCAATTATTAGAAAAAGTGGCAGAACTATTAGCAAGTTCAAATGCTCGAAAGAAAAAACTGGTACATGTTATTAAAAGCAAAACAGATAGTTTAATTTCCTTTACTTCTTTCCAGGTTTTTGATATGCTTCTGTTTTAGTAACTTTGAGTCTCATGTAGTAACTTGTCTGTTCTTTAGGTCCAGATGGCAGTGCATGATCTCCGGGAGAGTGCATCCACCAGAACCAGCAATTTACAGCAAGAGATGTCGACTATGCAGGATTCCACTTCTTCTATCAAAGCTGAATGGACAGTCCACATGGAGAAAACAGAATCTCGCTACCTTGAGGATACATCTGCTGTTGAGAGTGGAAAGAAAGGAATGCAAGATGTTCTTCTTAACTGGTATGGGCTGCAGAAAATCATCTCTTATCTTCGATTCTAGCATGGAATTTATATCCTGATGATTCTTAGCATATATTCTCAACTAATTTTCGAACATACATTTTCAGTTTGGAGAAGGCAAAGATGGGTGCACAACAGTGGAGGGATGCTCAAGAATCCTTGCTCAGTTTAGAAAAGAGCAATGTTGTTTCTGTAGATTCAATTGTCAGGTACTATTCAAGCATGATTCAAGTTTTAACATGCCTATGTATTATATATGTACGTATATCTTCTCAAAAAATTTATTCTTATTTATATCTGTTGGACATGAGCATCACTCAAGTTTTGAGTGCAAGATCTCTGATGTTTTCCCCTATTTATCAGAGGAGGGATGGATGCCAACCAAACTCTTCGTGCTCAATTTTCTTCTGCTGTGTCAACTGCTCTCGAAGATGTGGATGCTGCAAACAGCAATGTTCTTACATCTGTTGACCGTCAGTATCCAGAACCCTTAAAAAATCAGTTTCAATTATATATATGTTGGGATAGCATTATATGAATCAACTCAGGAAGTAAACTTCATTGCAGATTCATTACAACTTGACAATGACGCGTGCACGAATCTCAATTCCATGATTGTTCCTTGCTGCGGGGATTTAAGAGAATTAAAGGGTGACCACTACCACAAGATTGTGGAGATTACAGAGAATGCCGGGAAATGCCTTCTTGATGAATACACTGTAAGTTTGGTTTCATCTTGGTGGAAAAGGACTGCAGAACATACTCTATATAAAATAGACAAAGAAATGTCCCGGCACAACCCGGATGTGCCTTAACCGTCTAAAAAGGCCAACAAAATCATCGTATCTGGAAAGGAGAACTAGGATACTTAGGCCCATTTAACCGTTCGAAACTGTTTTGAGTTTTTATTTCTTATTTTTCTGGGGAAACAGTTTTCATTTTTTATAGTTTATGTTTGTTAAAAAAAAAATGTTTAGTTATTGAAAATAAAAAAAATATTTAAAAATGATATAAAATATGATGAATTTAAAAAGAATAGAAGGTTTCAAACTCAAGCAGTGTTTCCATCTGTCATTTTTAGATCTTGTTTTCATTATCAGTAAAACTATTATGTGTTGGTATATAAAATGAAGATTTAAAAGAATTTTCTATTTCACCCTACTCTCCAAATCCTCCGCGTCCCTCAGAACAAACATCTCCCATACTCTTCCCTAGTTTGCATCCTTTCACGTAGCTTTTCAACCTTAACTCTAGTTTGATGCGTTTTAATTTAATAATAATAGGTGGATGCACCATCCTGTTCAACACCAAGGAAAAGGTCATTCAACCTTCCCAGTATTGCATCGATCGAGGAACTTAGAACGCCAGCCTTTGAGGAATTGTTGAAAACATTCTGGGATTTGAAATCGACAAAGCAGGCAAATGGAGACATCAAACAGCACATGAATGGAGCATATGACTCCAGGGTTCCTCTCACTGCTATTAACTAAAGTGAAAGAAGGACCATTTTCCAGGTACAGTAGTAGTAAGAAGAAACCGTGTACAGAAAATTATAATATGGGAACATCAACTCTCTCTTCTTATTTCATTAATTGTTTGTTTAAAGAAATTATTCCACTATGAATGCCAGGAAAAATATATATTAGAGATTCTTTCTTTCTTTCATTTTCTTGGAAAGATTTTTTTTCCCACGGGCTTGTAAGAGATTTTATAGAGTTAATTAAATTCGGTTATGGATTTTTGGAGTAAACAAAGAACAAGTGGAAATATTTCTAATTTATATAATCTACATATTGAAAATCTTTTGTTTGATTGCTCCAATGATTCTTGCCATGGTAGTCTTTTGATATAACTCTTATTCCTCTTGTTTGCACGTGTTTTTTCATGTATAGATTTATTTATTTATTATTTTTACTCAATAATTTTAGATTAGTAAGTTTTATAATTTTTTGTCATAACTAAGTTGTAATATCGATGTATAAGTTTTAATTTTTAGTCTAAAAATTAAGGATTTTTTAATAGTTCAAAGATTTAACTGTGAGTAAATGTTAAAAATTAAGAAGTTACTGTAATTTTGGAGTACTGTAGTAAAAATGTGAGCTTCATTGTTCTTTTTCTCTATATTATTCAATTTCTTGTAAGTTACAAACGGACTAAAAACATTGTTTTTGCTAATACCGTTCCAATTAATTCACGCATACAAGATCTTTTAATTGCATTTTTAGTCAAAGAATACTGTTTTAAGTAGTAAAAGTGCATTACTTTCTCCAAAAAACATTGGACATTTTACCTAAAAAAAATGATGAAGAAAACTACGTCTTGAAATAGGGCAGAATTGCCTTTCTAGACTAGTAACTTATCTTTTTTTTTTGTTTTAATTACACTTTGCGCGTGCTAAGACAAACATAATCATTTCAGGGTTTTTAAAATACAATTGTTAGAAAGAGAAAGACATGAACTATTAAAATGGTGTTAATCCATTTACTTCCCAGTAAATGGATTTAGTTGCCATGAAACTAAAAATATTTTGATTTTAATAAAATACTTAATACTTTGTAGTACAGAATTTAGTTAAAATTTATTCGTGTATAGAAATACTTATATCATTCAAATTAATAATTCATAATCCACTATTCTAATTGCAACGCGTAGAGAAATCAAACGTGCTGGCTTTCTTCTCTCTTGTTTTCTTTACCAGGAAAAGGTAGATGCTTTCATATTCTTCACTGATCTTGGCAGTTAGGAGCGCATCAAACTGAAGGTCAAAAGCTATTGACTTACAGTTGAAGGTCAATATTAATGGATCAGATTCGATATGTTGACCTGAAATCTGCCTTTTTTGTTTCTTTCTATGAAGCGACAATCTATCTGTCAGGCTAATCATGTCTAACAAGGATAAAACCCAATCATACATTTAAGAACTATGAAGGTTCAGAAAATTACTCTATGAAATTTCCAATCCTTCAGGTAACACAAGCTCAAGCTAATGAATCCAACCATCCTTGCAATGATGGTTAGCCGTTGCCTTTTCTTGACTAAAACCTGTTCTCGTGACCCGATAACTAAAAGCCACCAAGGCACAAGCAAAAATTTCTAAGAACTACATCACTCTGAGAACTCAAATAATTTGATAGCCAAGGGCCAGCCCAAGCAAGTATAAATACAGAATAACTTACTCAATTCATCAATGTAGGCACATAGCAATCTCATCTAAACCATTTGAACTGAGAGATCTGAGTGATGGAATGCACACTAAAAGATGATTTCTTCCAGATTTGCTTCAGCTGAGAGGGCATATCTTTTATACTTAAACATTACCCAAAAAATGGTATTGAGAAAAGTAAAAGGTAAATTATTCATGAGACACGGAATCATTCGGCATCCACCTGTACCCAATTACTATACAAAACTTCAATTTATGACATACACCTCAAATAGGCAGAGTGACCATGGCATCCACTGAGATGGATTTTGAAGCCTGCAAAATAAATGAGCGATTTGCTTTGTTAGAACCGGTACAAATTAAGGACCTGTTTTAGCAGCTAACGGAAGTATGTAACTGAAACCAGAAAAATAATATGCGTTTTTTTTTTGGATAGAAGAAGGAATTTTATTTAAGAAAACAGAGAAGACTACAAAAAAGAACGGAAATCCTATTTTTTCAGGTACTGTTCACAATTTTCAGATTCTTACAGCAACACAAAGCAACTATGGGACCTAGAGCGTTCTAC